TATGAACTTGTAATGCCTAAGGTTATATATACTGTGATCTGAAATGGCAGTTTTTCGAGTACACAGAAAATAACTTTTTTGTAAAAGCGCAATTTAAGGACTATGTACAATTGTACAAAGACTTCCCTCTCAACTATTTAAACTTAATTAAGGAGCTTTGATTAACTAGCTTAATTTGTAATTATGGTCTTATAGCTTGCAGCACAACTTTAGTCTTAATTGATCTTCACACAATTTATTGTGGAGTCTTTTGATTGTAAAATTAGTTACTGGGTGATTCAGAAATGATTTCAAAAGGCTCCTATACATCTCATCATTTTCTTCAGCTTTTTAATCTCCTCCCTTCTTCCTTCTTCATTTATTCTATCCATCTTCATTCTTGTTACCTTGAAGAAATGGGATCTCAAACCACATCCCTTCCTTTCTCATCTCAGCATGTAAATGACACCCAGATAATGAAAACTATGAACTACAGTCTACTTATAAATCATTTTCTTCTTTCATAACTTGGTTAAAATTTTGTTTTGCAGCTGGTTGAAGACGCCAACTATGCCAAATTAAGTAAAGAAGTTGCTGAGAGAACTCTTCAATTAAGGTACATTCTCATGGTCAAGTCTTTGTGATCTTTTACTTGTTTTACATGTGTTTGGTTTGCATATAATTTTCTATGAAAGACAGGAGGTTGAGAGGGGAGGAACTTCATCTTTTAAGTATCGAAGAGCTACACCAGCTGGAGAAGTCCCTTGAAGCTGGATTAGGGCGTGTTGTTGCAAAAAAGGTCCATTTCCTTCTCATAAAATTGCAAAGTTCTATTGTATGCTTCTTATTAGTAAAATTTTCAAGACTAACATGAAAAATTGGAGTTTTCTAGACCCAAAGCAACCAAAATATTTCATAGAATTGCTTTTTTGTGCAATCTTGTCTGAATGCTTGTAAATTTATTTAAATCTTATATATGTTTGTCAAATTAGCCAACACTCAAAAGTATGTGTTATTTTTTAGTAGTTCTACTGTAGGGTTTACATTCCAGTTTTTATTTCCTCCAGGGAGAGGTAATTATGAACGAGATTAATCGTCTTCAAGAAAAGGTAAGAACTACAATCTACTTGTCCCAATTTTAGAAAATATAATATCTTATATCATAATCTTGAACAACAATGCTCATGAATATCTGGGTTCATAGCAATCTTTGTATAACTATGCAGGGAACAGAACTGATGGAGGAGAATGACCGACTTAGAAAAGAAGTATGAATCCTATTTTCCACTTACTTTTTTTGGAGTTGTAACTCTATTTTTTTTATTAACTTTTCTTCTGAATGTGGAATGAAGATGATGGAGATATCAAAGGTTAGAGAACAGGTTCATGGTGATACTGAGAATGTAATTGGTGAGGAAGGTCAGTCATCCGAATCTGTTACCAACATTTCTGACTCAGCTGATCGTGTAGAAGACTATGAAAACTCCTATACATCCCTCAAATTAGGGTTAGTACATCACCCATTAATTAAGCATGCTTTTGGTAATGATTTTGAAAGTTAAGCAAATCAGATATAAAGTGAAACTACATAGCTATATTTTCCAAATTTCCTATCTCATTGAACCATACTATACCAAGCCTATATATATTTGGTTTGTGAGATTCAAAAGGTAAATAAGAAAAGTTAATGGCACAGAATCTGTTTTAAAATTTGAAAAATATTTTAGAAGAACGTATAAAAGAAAAGTTTTTTTTGTTTTACTTGTAATGCTGTTCTGTAACTATGAAAGGTACTAAAATTAATCATCTTTCATGTTTGGAAGATGGAAATGAAATATGGTTTTTGTGCAAGTTCGGTTTTTCATTTGAATTTTATACCTTTATATGAAAATAGAGTCGACATAATGAAATAAGAAGCAAAAGCAATGAACTCGGATTAATCATTTGTTGGGATTTTTGTGCAGGCTTCCTTACCCAGGTTGATTGGAGCTTGTAGGATTTATATATGTAATTGATAGCTAAGAAGATGATGCTTATGGATATGACCTTTGACAAGGATTATTATAATTATGATTGATTTACCCCTATATATTTCTGGCGATTATTTTTATGTTCTTACTAGCAGGATTCTGATCTGAACTCAATTGGTGGGTAACTTGCTTGATATGCTCAACATGGAATGATGTATCCTGACTGACTTGTATCTATAAATCAGTCTTAAACTCCTTTAGTTACTAAAGATACTAAAACATTTCATTTTGAGTGTGTGTGTGTATATATATATATATATATATATATATATATATATATATATATATATATATATATATATATATAAGTTGAATAAAGAAAATATTAAGTAATTAGTAACGAAGATCAATATGTTAAGATAAAACATGATAGATATTACAAATAAATAAGTACTTTAACATCGCGCGTTGCGCAAGAATACATTTAAATGGTTAAAATAATTATGGAAAAAAATAAAAATATGTTGAAATTTACGTTTTTAGTCATGTTTTGGAAATTAACCGAATTATCAAATAATATAAAAATCTGTCAAACTTATATTTTGATACTATCTAATATAGTTCATACCGTATAAACTTTGCTTTTACTTTTATACGTACCAGTATATATTATAGGGTTTTGTATAACATTAATATAATCTACTTTTCTTATATACGATAATATTTTTTTAGATAGAATAAGAAATAAGTTGTTTTGAATGAGCTATTAACAAAATAATATTGAACTAATAAACTTTGTATTACATTATTTATATTACACAAAAACATCCAAGGTTTGATATATAAATTTTCAAATATTAAATATTGAAATTAAGAAAGAATTCATACAAAATATATCATTATATATAAATGTCATCAAGAGTTTTAAATATAAGTCGATTAGTAAATATGATATTTAATTTTAATTATATATTTTGCAACGCATATGTTTGACTTTATGTTGGTGTGCCGAGAATCCTCTTTCTTAATTTGTACTTAAAAAATTAAGGTGAACAACAATATAAATAGATATTAGTAAGAATTAATATAAATAATTGAAAATGGTATTTGGATCTCCTACCACCAGTTAAAGATAACATACCTTTCTAGTGATATCGATTCTTATGTGAAATTGAAGTAGTCATTCAATGTACACATTGTTTTCTAATTACATAAACAAATATGAGTAACCAAACATAAAAATGTTATCTTTATGTAGGAAAAAGATTTTAGTTAACTAACAAATTAAATAATATAAGTTTAAGAGTTAGAAGTTTCAAAACATTAATATTTTTATTAATCAATCAATTAAGTAACACATGTTGAAATTTTTACACTCATTATTAAAAAGCATTTGAAATATTAGATTTTAAATGAATTTTGATTGAAGTGTTTTGAAATATATATATATATATATATATATATATATATATATATATATATATATATATATATATATATATATATAGAGAGAGAGAGAGAGAGAGAGAGAGAGAGAGAGGGAGGGAGGGAGAAAGATGGAAAGTATAACATATGTATGAGTTTTAATTAATTATCTTTTTGAAACGGTATAATTACAAAACAAAAAAAAAACATATTTAAAATATTTAATTAAATATTTTCGACATCATCTTATATAACATATGATCAATATATTAACGATTAAACCATAATATACAACGACTGTATTACAATAATCCAAAAAACGAAGAAAACATAAAAACGAATTGGTATAACAATACAAATTAAAATCTCTAATATAATAACATATCTCCAAAAGTGGTCATAAGACCTCAACCCAACACAAAAATCTCTAAGTTTGTTTTCTTTTTGAAATTTATATACGATTTGTATGCATGTCATCCCAAAAGATTGACATTTTATAGTAAACTTTTCACTAAATGCTAATTAAACATAATGTAAGTTATAAAATTTTTGAGTGTTAAATCATAATTAAGAAAACTTTTGAGTTGCATTAGTTAAAAAAAGGGGATTTTAAATGAATGTGGTTTGAGGAAGTTAAAAAATGGGGTTTCAAATGCATGAGATTCAAGAAAAAATGCTAGCTTTATAAGTATGTATGATAGTAAATAATAATAATAAAAAAAGATATAGTGACAATTCATAAATCTATAAATATTCTTTTAAGTAATAAAACAGTATTAGTTAAATAAAATGATATAGTGATAATTTATAATTCTCTAAATGTTTTTTATACAATATTTGATACTTTATTGGTAAGTTTATTATTTTTATATGAATCTTCAATTTGTAAGTTTCTTTTTTTGTGTTCGTTTGTCATTCTCTCTAACAAAAGACTCCATGTAAAACTTCTAACAACGTCTATCAATAACATCTACACAATTAACCAAATAAATTGTTAGTATAGTGGTCATGTAAAATAAGATATTTTCATCACTAATTTTGAGATTTAAGATTATGTGCTAACCGGTAGGTCACAAATTAAAAAACACATACATGATCAATAAAATCAGTGCACTTTAGAGATTATCCAAAAACTTATTTGATGCAACAATCATACCTAGCGTGGTATTTTCAATGTAAAAAATCAATAATTTCTTAAAAAGTAATTTATCAAATTTGGAACCCATCTTTTTGAATGGTAGCTTGGATTTTTCTTCCCTGAGAGCAAAACAAATAAAATAGGAAAAACTGCATAAAAATCTTTATGTTTTGACCTTATAATTGATTTAGTTCTTACAATTTTTTTTTTATAATTAAGTCATAATTATTGGTTATTATAATCAAAATGGGGTAGTTAATGGGTTAACTGGTAATCTGATGTGGCACCTTATGTGCCAGTCAACATGTGAAATGGCATCCTACATGCCACTTAAGAGGGATACATTAAAGCAATGTACACATCAACTTCTTCTTAATCATCCAACACTCGAAGGTGCGATTAGGGCAATCAGGCAAATCGATGTCAAGTTCTTCAAGTAGCAACATTAGAAGGTGCTATTATGGAGATACGATTGGAATGTGGATATCATGGACTCAAAAGAATCTAAGTTGAAGGTTCTTTGGCTGCCTAAATTACATGGTATATATTCTTCAATTTCACTCTTTTGGTTTAAAACTTGCATCTTTCTATGTTTCTATGTTATGTAGGATGAAGAGAACGATTGTGGGTATTTTCGTTGGATTGATCCACCATTATTGAACAAGTGGTATATAGAGAAGATCTATGAAATGGGAGTTGTTGCTAATGATGGTGTTGTTGTTCTTTTCCATAACCATGTTAATGAAGTTGAAATACTTCTTAATGGCCCTAATGCCCTTGAACCTGCTAATCAGACTGCAGTGCCTGTGAACACCCATGTACATGCTAATGTACTTGGATTCTGGAAGTGGATGATGGTTTGTTTGGTGTGTTTCATTGTAGGGATGATGTATGTTTAGTATAGTATAAGTTTTAAGGTATTATGGTATGGTAGGGCATGTAATATTTTGGTTTATTGTCATGGTGTAATGGAAATATGATTATGTAATCTTTAGGTTAATGAAATGGGAATATGATCTTATGGTCTGGATATATGAATTTCAAGAAATATAATCTTGAACCTGTGATGAGAAATATAACTTTGACATATGCAAATATGAACATATATGACAAATATGACATTGACATATGCATATATGACCATATATGACAAATATGATTTTGAAACTTCCAAATGACCAATATATCATTAACAAAACAATTATAACCAATATCCCATGTCCTTAACAAAACAAAAATAACCTTAAATGAAAATTATGACCATGAAACTTCCAATTGGCCAAAAGGTAAGGAACAAAACAAACATGGCCATGAAATGTGCACAATTGACTTATATAATCTTAAAGCAACAAAATCCAATATGTAATTACCAACCATGTTAAGGGCATTCATAATGTGTCAACGTGTTTACAAAAAGTGTACAAAAATGATTATCACCAATAGGATAAGGGCATTCACAAAAGATGCACAAAAGCAACATTCACAAAAGATGTACAAAAATGGAAACCTAATCACCATTGACCAATTATTACGCTTAAGACCTTCACATCCTAATCAACGCTAATGTTGAACTTGAAAAGTACCAACACATCCCATGTCACACCCCCAAACCGAATTGACAGAAACATTCGGGGGTGGAGGACGTCATGTACATTATCATAACAATGCACAATAGTAAAACAAGTAACAACATCATCCATTGCATTAATAGTATAATTGATACATGTGTGTTCTGAATGTATTTGCAAGACACCAAAAATATATATATCAAAATAAAAGACGAGTCTAAAAGTGCTTCGTCTTCTCAAAATCTGTCATCTGTACCTGTCTACTGGTGACCTGAGAATACAAGTTAGTTTGAAGAGAGGATCAACATTTAAGCTGGTGAGTTCATAAGTATTTAGTGCCAAATGTGGTATAAATTTGATGAAAGTGTTTGCAAATGTTTGTAGTAAATGTTTGTAAGTGTTTGTAGTAAATGTTTGTATCTCCTAGAAAATCCTATATTTTCTACTTATCATGAAATGTAGCATTCTACCAAGTGCTTTCCCCAAGTATGACTATCATTACCAAAATATAGTTACATTTCCGTTTATGTGAGAAGATCACAATGTGAATGCAATGGGAAAAATAATGATGTACTGTAGTATTGTATATAGTAACTACTGTTGTACTAACTACCTTAAACCAATAGTTAATTAAGGTAAAATGTGATGAGGTTGTAACCATGCTTGATCGACTAATAAAACATGACGTTAAAAGACGTCAAAATGGTATGACATTCGTCACCCGTAGAACTGCAGGTCCTACTGTAGCTAGCAGCAAGGTGTAAGATGGTCAATCCAGTATAGATCTATACACAAATTCATGCACTTCCTCCAGGAGACTCTGGTTATAAAACATGAAGTAGTGGCTCACATTAATGTTATAGTATTCTTGTATTTGTATAGTATGTTCTCTCTGTTCTAGTGTATTGTATGTTCTCTTTGTATACTATGTTCCTCCCTATTCCTCGTTATAATATTTTCATTCTGTTTCTTGTTATAGTATGTTTGAACTGACTCATGTATTAACTGACCCATGTATGTTTCATTGTTCTAGGAATAGTGAGTAGTAATCCTCTAAGCTATACCTATTATAGTTTACTAGTAATGTTGTTTGAATGACTAAGTATGTTTGTACACCTTTACTACCTAAAGGTATTGAGCTGTTGGAAAGACTTTTATACTTATTGTTAAAACTGCTGTCATACACGATTTTAAAAAAAAATATATAAAATAAACTGCACTATTGCACTAACAGGTAGTACGGGTAAGCAGGGTCGGATCCTCAGGGACACGTCTTAACGTTTATACCTCTTTGCGCAAGGTATGAACTAATACTTAATAAATGCCATAACATAAAAAAAGGGGGGAAATTTTATTCTTAAAACTAAACAATAGAAATTGAAAATGACAAGAAAATGACCAAATGTAAAGTGATGAAAATTCAAATAAGAAAAAGCAATTCCAGTTTCACGATGACTCCCTTAATCATATAATTAACCTTCAACATAATATTTGACTATTCACTTGTTTAAACTGGTACTAAGGTTCATTAACAAGCTCTAATGGCCTTTATTACAAAAATCATTTAATCAAAATAAGTTCTTTGAATTAAACCTAACTTTTAACAAAATTAATCAAACAAGATATTGATCAACAAGGAAAAGTTGCATTAGACACAATGTAATTTCCCAGTAAAGTTCAATACCTCTCATAAGCTCGGAGGCGTTAAAACTTGTTTGATCAATCCATATTAGACTTAACCCTAATCTCAGAATTAATCCAATATATGTCACTTTTTACTAATCAATCTAGACAATTACGGATCTAAACAATTAGATGACTGGAATGATTCACAAACAATTCAAGTGGCCAACCAAAATCGAAATCAGAATCAAACACTCAATTTAACATAGGGCTGATCAAACTAAACAGTAATCATAGTCAAACATAGTGCTTAATGATTAATCATACGAGAAGGTTACGTATTGTGAAACTGAAATCTGAGTTTTTAGCCTGACATGGCTAAAAACAGGTTACAAACGATGAAAATAAACCTTAAACAGTAAATCTTACTAAACTATGACTTGGAATCGAATCGTACGTATCCTTTAGATCTGCCTTCTTCACTTGAAAACCTCTGAAAATCACCTCTGAATTGCCAGGAATCACCAATTAGGGTTACGGGAAGGGTATCAGGCTGTATTTATACGTCTAGCTGTCAAAACACCGTACCTGCGATTGCAAGGGGTAAACCTGCGATCGCATGTATCATCCAAAAGGACGTTACAGATTTTTTTTTAATGAAGTACGTTGCTATTTCGATGCAATTTGACCAACCTGTGATCGCAAGGGCACAACCTGCGATCGCAAGTATCTCCTTTTCTCAACTAATGATTTTTTTGGCTCGACAAATCCTCGTAAGCAACCTGCGATCGCAAAGGGAACCTGCGATCGGAAGGACAAAGCTTGCAATTGCAAGCTGCTTCATCTGGCTCTTTTGGCCGTCGTTCCTCCTTCCAAACAGTTCCTGAACATTTCCCGACATCTCTCTTTAGTATAAACTCCAATTAAGCTCCAAAGCATCCACAAATGCATCCCGAACTTGCGCAATCATCCATATGCTCCAAATAGCCCTGAAAATCATAACAAATGTGAGCAGTACGGGCATTCTAAAAAATAATCATGAAACACAAAATACATAGGAATTAGTTAGCTTTTTATAATGAAATGCATAGGAAATTGTGCTAAAAGATGCATATAAAATGCATCTAACAAACCTCCCCAAGCTTAGACCTAACTTGCCCTCAATTAAGGAAAGGATAACTATAGAAATGGAATTGGGGCTAAAGGCAACAACGGGTCAACCTAGACACAATCAACTAAAAGAAAAGAAAACCTAACAATAATAAAAACTACCCAAGCTAAACATAAAACAAATGCATGCAAAGATAAAGAAAATGAACAATGAACTAAAATAGTATGCAAATGAAGAACAAACAATTAAAATAAAACTTGTGTGTGTGTGTGTGTGTTTTTTACGATAAGACTTTATATCGATAATGGGCTCCAATCATTAACACCAAAGCAACCCTTCTGCTATCTTTCATGTATCAAAGACTCCCAAAGTAAGGAAGACCACAAACGGTGTAACCCAATAGTCCAACTCGAGTTTTATTTAAACTTTGTACCTTAATTAGCTTTATGAGCGAAAATAACATAGTCCGGATCTCATGTCCTTAAGACTAGATGGCCAAGAATCAGAATCGACGCATCCTTAAGAACCCGCATGACCAAATCAGCTTTCACCGAAGCACCAAGAGCCAACCCCCGTAGGAGCCCGAGCTATATGCTTTCACTTTTTCGAGAGCCACAAGTATCATATCACATAGTTCTTTATTCACCATATATAACTTTAGAACGGCTTCTAACTTGATTGAACTTTGATTTGTACTTTGTTTTGAGCTTTATTTCTTCAATCCCTTTTTTTTTTTTATAATTTCTTGAAGTTTCTTCAATTGAGTGCTTGAAATTCTTCGATTTGGGTATTAGATATAACGTTGTACCCTTTCTTCATTTTGACTGTGTGGACCTGATACTTAAGCTCTCTGCTACCGCTAGGGTAACGCATGTCAACAAATACAACCATTTTTTGTGGGTTCAGAGTTGTCGATAAAGATTCTTTTTAAACTTTAATAAGAAAATCATCCTAGAGCCGTTATTACCGCCTAAAAAACGTTTCAGTACACCATTTTTTATTATTATCTAAGGCTGGGGTCTCGAATCACGGTGTTTGGATCCCCTGGTTATGACAGCTGATTCTACACTTCCAACAACATTCGGATTGCTTCGGATTTTTCTCATTTATAATTCTTAATATCCCACTTCATGGAGCTATCGTATGTAAAGAGTGTCATCATCTCGTACATTTTTGTTTTCATGCAAATGCAAAATGCAACAAAATGAAATATTTTAGAAAAAGCTAGGAAGAAATAAAAAGAAATATAAATGAAAAATCTTTTTGAATTTTTGAATTTTTTTTAATTAAAAAGACAAAATAAAAACTTTCCCCAAGCTTAAAATTAAGCATTGTCCTCAATGCTTAGGGAGAAATGAAAGATGATTACTCAGAAGGGGGTGCATAGAGACAGAAGAAATCGTCACGCAAACCTAAGAGTTCGTCATGATAACCGATAACTTGAGTGCTATATAGCTGATAATCGAGGCGAAGACCAGTCATAGTCTGCTGAAGAGAAGCAATATCCTGACTGAGGTCAAGATAATGCTGGTAAGTGAAGGGGGAGTTGGGGTTAGGGTGAGATAGCAGAGTGGGTGGTGGCTGATCCTAAAAGTCAGTATGCATGGGATCAGGCTGGCTAAAGGAAACAGGTGTGGCGTCTGCGTAGTCTGGGTGCTGAGTAGACGAAGATGGTTGATCAGATTGTGGCTGTCTGACCTGCTGTGCCCTACGTGGGCGAGGAGGTGGTGGGATGTTCGATGGGAGAACCCACATAGTGTCGCTAATGGGGTCTGCTAGGGCGATGACATCAGGGCCAGTGACCTTGAAGTAAGTGGAGCGACCCCGCATTCAAACATACCCACCTGGGCTAGTACGAAGCATGTTCATAGCCCGAAGGTTTTGCAGGTTCAAACGGGAGGACTCAGTCTGAAAGAAAGTGTACCCGGGAGGGAATTGCTCCAAGAAGGAGTGGGCAATGACACTAATTAGACCACCACAGCTAATGGTACCGCCGGTGCGAAGGTTGATAACTTTGTGAAACCGTTTGGTGATAATATCACCAAAATGCGGGCGGTGTAAACCGGTGACCATACACCACAAAATGAAAAGCTCGGCTTTGCTAGCTTTGGTAGTCTTAAGCTGTGCATAAATGATATTGCATATAATTTTCAATGCAATTTTAAGAACAGGGTGTACGATGCTAGTCTAGACGGATGCAGCCGAATCATAATTCTCCAAATCAGTGATGGAGTACCAGAACTCGTGGACATCAAAAGCGGGAGTGGGCTGGGATAAACTAGTGACAATGCTATGAAAGATAGTACATAACTGGTCTACGTGGAGAGTGTGAGGGGTGCTAAAAATGCGAAAGGAGAAATTTCCCTCATGGTTCACGTCGCTCAGGGTAGCTAAAAACTCGCGGGTCAGTAAGGGACAAGTGGAAAAGTTCGCAAATAATAGGCGTTCCCAGCCAATATTGGCAAAAAGAGCGCGAACACCATCATAAATATGGAGTTCCTGCATAAGTGTGTAGCTAGGGCCCAGGCTTGTGGCAGAATCTCGCGGTCAATAAGCCGCTGGTAACAGTCAAGTGCAACCTGTGGACCTAAATCTACAGTAACATTGTCCACTAGGACAATGAATGGCGACTCTGGGGTGTCACCCTGTCTGCGTGAACGAGATGATCTAGGGGCATTTTTTTTATTAAAAAGAATATATATATATATATATATATATATATATATATATATATATATATATATATATATATATATATTACAAAATTTATAGGTCAAAAGGGGGACAAGGAAGGCACCATTTCTAGGTAATTCTAAGCACAAATATATAACAAAAACAAAAATTCAGTTTTAGAATGAAGATACCTGACTGTGCACATTTTTTTTTTGATTTTTGAAATTCCGTTCGGATGAATCTCTTCTGAACCGTGTCGGGTGCAAACGTTTCTACTTATTATGGCCTGTAGATGACTAACGGAACGTAGATCTGAAAAAGAAACTCACAAAAAATTAAATTTCAAAAGGAACAAAATGAGATTTTTGGAGAATTTCAACCGTGAAATGATGATTTCGTTACCGTATACATGTTGTAGGAGTAAAATAGAAGAGATTGATACATTATTTGCGTGATTTGGATGAAAAACAAGCGATTTGGGTGAAAAAACTCGAAATGCAGTGAATTTCAGAGATAATTTTTGAAGTGTGGTGGTTAAAAATGAGGCTGCGATCGGTATTTATACACAGAAACACAACCTGCGACCGCAAGGAGGGTACCTGCGATCGCAGGTTTGAATTTTTGACTCAATGGCACATTTTTCAAGGTAAAGCAACGGTCATATAACATTAAATGCATACCTGCGATCGCAAGGGGAGAACCTGCGATCGCAGGTTTGTGTAAAATGGCCATTTTTTTTAATAAAAAAAATGACAAGGATAAAAACAAGAAACCTGCGATCGCAAGGATAAAACCTGCGATCACAGGTTGTCTATTTTCGTAAAAAAATGCCCTAAAAAACCTCGATGATGTGTTGTGATCACAAATGTATAACCTGCAATTGCAAAGACCGGGCTTGCGGTCGCAGGTTCCACCAAAATTGTAATTTTCAACTTTTTTCAAATTCTCTCTGCTACTTGTTATTTTAAAAACACGATTCGGTTAAAAAGGGACGACCTAAGTAGCTAAAACACACAAAAATAAAAAGAAGTTCATAAAAACGAAAACCAAAACAAATGCTCGGGTTGCCTCCCGGTAAGCTGCCCATTTTTACTGTCGTTGGCTCGACGTTGTTACTTGGTTTCCTCAATTGCGGTAAGTCGGGACCGCGACTACCTCCACTTCTTCATTTGTAACTTGAAACCCTTCATAAAATGGTTTGAGACGGTGACCATTAACTTTAAAAATCTTTCCTGTTTGTTCACTCTTTATTTCTATAGCACCATGATCAAACATGTTAGTAATAACAAAAGGTCTCACCCAACGAGACCTCAATTTACCGGATATAAGTTTGAAACGAGAGTGATATATGAGTACCTTTTGATCGGTAACGAATACCTTTCGCGAGATCATCTTGTCATGAAACACTTTCGTCCTGTCCTTGTAAATTGCTTCGTTCTCGTAGGCATCATTCCTAATTTCTTCTAACTCTTGGATATCCAATCTTCTTTTCTTACCAGCTTCATCCATGCTCATGTTTAACTTTTTGACAGCCCAATAAGCTCGATGCTCTAATTCAACCGGTAATCGACAAGGTTTGCCAAAAATAATTCTATATGGTGACATACCAATAGAAGTTTTGCATGATGTCCAGTGAGCCCATAACGCATCATCCAATCGAATACTCCAATCTTTTTTGACTGGGTTGATGGTTTTCTCTATAATTCCCTTGATCTGTCTGTTTGAAGCTTCATCCTGCCCATTCGTTTGCGGGTGATATGCTGTGGATACCCGATGTGTGACACCATATTTCTTGAGGACTGCTTCGAGGGTACGGTTGCAGAAGTGCGTGCCTCGATCACTAATAATGGCCTTTGGTGTCCCAAACCTAGCAAGTATATTCGTCTTGACAAAATCAACTACAACCTTGGCATTTTCTATTCGTGTAGCTTTTTCCTCAACCCATTTGGACACGTAATCTACAGCAAGTAAGATGTACGCAAACCCAAAAGATGGTGGAAACGAACCCATGAAATCTATACCCCAAACATCAAAAATTTCACACACCAAGATTGGAGTAAGTGGCATTTGATTACAAGATGTCAAAGACCCAGTCATTTGGCACCTTTCACAAGTTTCGCAAAACAGAAAAGAGTCATGAAAAATATGAGGCCAATAAAGACCGCTGTCCAAGAACTTGCGTGCGGTTCGTTGTGGACCATAATGCCCTCCACAAGCTTCTGAATGGAAGAAATTTAGGATTGACTTGACTTCATCTTGAGGTACACATCTTCTAATCACCTGATCAGCACAGTGTTTCCATAGATACGGCTCGTCCCAAACATATCTTTTCGCCTCCTTCTTTATGTTATCTTTTTGGGCTCGGGTAAGATCCGAAGGGAGTTATCTTAAAACCAAATAGTTTACTATATCAGCAAACCAAGGAGGGTTCTAAACAGCAAATAGATACTCGTCAGGAAATGTTACGCGGATCGGTGTCGGGTCTTCAGGTGGGGTGAGGCGGCTCAAATGATCAGCTACCAAATTTTCTATTCCACTTTTGTCCCTAATCTCTATGTTAAACTCCTGTAGTTGCAAAATCCATCTAATCAACCTTGGCTTTGAGTCTTTCTTGGCTAGAAGGTACTAGATGGCTGCGTGATCAGAAAAAATTATAACTTTTGTCCCCAGCAAGTATTGTCTGAATTTTTCCAATGCAAAGACAATTGACAGCAACTCCTTTTTTGTGGTGGAGTAATTTTCTTGGGCATTATCCAAGGTTTTTGATGCATAGTATATAACGTGTGGGACCCAGTCTCTTCTCTGTCCCAGAACAGCTCCAACAGCAGTGTTACTGGAGTCACATATTATCTTGAATGGTAAACTCCAATTTGGGGGCTGAATGATGGGGGTAGAAGTAAGGAGATTTTTCAGCACATCAAAAGCCTTCTTGCAATCTTCATTGAAGTCGAATTCAACATCTTTTTGCAGCAGCTGGCACATGGGAACTGATATTTTTGAAAAATCTCTTATAAACCTCATGTAAAACCCTGCATGAACAAGAAAGGAACGCACTTCCCGAACATTCTTCGGGTATGGTAAGGTCTTTATGACATCAATTTTTGCTTTATCGACTTCTAAACCTCTTTTTGAAACAATATGTCCAAGAATTAGACAGTGGTCAACCATAAAGTGACATTTTTCAAAATTTAAGACCAGGTCTATTTCTATACGTCTTTGTAAATTTTTTGTATGATTTTTCAAACAAATATCAAAGGAGTCTCCATAGACGGTGAAATCATCCATGAAGACTTCTATGATATTTTTGACGTACTCAGAAAAAACACTAACCATATACCTTTGAAAGGTAGAAGGTCTGTTACAGAGTCCAATGTGCATACGTCTATACGAACATCCCGAAGGGGCAGGTGAAAGTCATTTTCTCCTGATTTTCTGGAGCAACTGGAATCTGGTGGAAACCTGAAAATCCATCCAAGCAACATTAATGAGATTTTCCAGCAAGCCTCTCTAGCATTTGGTCTATGAATGGGAGCATAAAATGATCTTTCTGGGTGGTTGCGTTTAATTTTACGTAGTCAATACACACATGCCATCCGTTCTGAACTCGAGTTGGAACCAACTCTCCTTCTTCGTTCTCTGCCACTGTTACACCAGCCTTTTGGGAACAACTTGAATTGGGCTGAGCCACTTGTTGTCTGAAATTGGGTATATCATTCCAGCATCTAGTAACTTCATGACTTATTTCTTAACCACCTCCATCATTGGTGGGTTCAGTCTGCGTTGGGCTTCTCGTGATGGCTTATAATCCTCTTCCATCAATATTTTATGCATGCAGAGAGATGGGTTGAGTCCTTTGATGTCTGTGATAGTGCACCTAATTGTTGTCTTGTACTCCTTCAAAATTCTGATAAGCTCGAATTCTTCTTTTTTCTGACAGCTTGTTGGATATGGTAACTGGTAGTGTTTCTTTTCCCCCTAAGATATGCATATTTCAAGTGTTCTGGAAGTGTCTTCAGCTCCAATATGGGAGCTTGCACTACAGAAGGAAAAAGATTGGAGTTAGAAATTGGTAATTTGAGAGTTTGGGTACCATACCTCAACTTTTTCTGCTAATCCATATGAGCTACCATCTCTTCAAGTTCTCTATCAACCACATAATTTTTTGGTATAACCTGAGCCGCATTAATATATAGATTTCTGTGGAGCACTAATGCTAGTGACTCACAGTTAGCAATTTCAAAATATTCTACAGTTAATGGTTCAATTACATCAATAAAATTAAGAGCTGAAACATCATCAGGGTAACGCATGGCATCATAAATATTGAAGTTGATAACTTCACCATCAAATTCCATTGAAAGGGTACCATTATAAACATCTATTTTGGTTCTGGCAGTTTTTAAAAATGGTCTCCCCAAAAGAATGGAACTTGTGTTTGGTGAGTCATCATCTCCCATATCCAAAACATAGAAATCAACCTGGAATATAAAGTTCATTCACTTGAACCAAAATGTCTTCCAGCACACCTTTTGGGTGCACCAAAGAATGATCAGCTAACTGGATGATGACTCCAGTTCTTTTTAAAGGCCCTACCCCGATAGTTTTAAAATGTGAATATGGCAAAACATTTATAGAAGCTCCTAAATCCAACATAGCTCTTGGCACTGAAAGGTTCCCAAACTTGCAAGGAACAGTAAACACTCCTGGATCCTTGGACTTTAGGAATAGCCTTTTTTGTAAAACAGCTGAAACATTCTTGCTTACTTTAACTGTTTCGTTTCCTTTTAATTTCCTTCTTGAAGTACATAACTCTTTCAAAAATATAGCATATCGGTGCAGCTGTTTAATTGCATCAAGAAGGGGAATATTTACCTCAACATTTTTGAAGAAATCCATAATCTCTTTATCTTCCTTTTTTTTTTTTTTTTTTTTTTTTTTTTTTTTTTTTGTGTTTTTCAGTCTTGAGGGAAAAGGAGGTGGGGTAATTTTCACTTCAGCTTCAACAGGTTTGTCTTTTTTCCGCACCTCTTCAGTTGCCTCAGATTCTTGCTCAACAGCGATCTCCTCTTCCTCATCTTCTTGCTGATCTGGTCCCTTGTAGTTTTTACCACTTCTGAGGGTGACAACAGAAGCATTGTGCTTTGGGTTCTTCTCAGTCTGAGATGAGAATTTTCCTTGTGTTTGTGCCTATAATTTGCTCATGGAGTTCGCGAGTTGCGATACCTGCTGTTCCATATTTTTGATGCTAGACTTTGTTTCATTCTAGAAAGCTTGGGTACTGGTTGCAAGACTTTTAACTATGTCTTCTAAAGACATGCTGGAACTACTAGCTTGTGATTGAACAGGTGGTTGCTGAAAATTGCGTGGGTGCTGATTTTGCTGAAAAGGTTGTTGAAACCCGAGTGAAGCTTGATATTGGTTTCTTTGCTGAAAGTTCCGTTAAGGTCATGGCTGGAAGTTGTTATTTTGAGGCCCTCCCCAAGCTTGGTTATTGCAATGCTGATCAGATGGGTTTTGCTGAAATCCTCCCATATCTTGCACAGACTCATTATCTTCTGGAAGTATTGGGCACATGTTAGTTGGATGCCCGGTTTTGCAGCAGATTTCGCAAGGTTTGACCTTTGGTTCGATACCCTTTTATTTTGTCAACAAAAGGACAGCTTTAGTCAATTCTGAAATCTGGGATTCTATGTGGGGATTGCTCATTTCTTTGACTCCTCTTGGATGGTCCG